TGTCAGGACTTATAGGGCCTTTTATGACTTTTAGTATTTGTTTTATGAAATTAGAGGCTTTAATATTTAGTGCATAGATATTTATAATTGTTATATCTTCTTGATGAGTTGTTCCTTTAATTAATATGTACTTATCATATATAAATGTAACTACACCTGTTGGTTTACCATTTCCATTTGCTTGGCAGCTTGTTTTCCATTCTTTGATATTATGATATAGTGATAAATCAGCCTGATAGCAGCATAAAAACAGGCAGGTGGACCAATGGAACAGAATAGAGGACCCTGAAATAAAACGGCAAAGCTATGCTCACCTAATTTTCGACAAAGGTGGCAAAACATGCGATGGAATTAAGATAACCCATTCAACAAATGATTATGACAAAACTGGATATCCACCTATGAAAAATGAAATTAGATTCATGTCTTTCACCTTGTAAAAAAATCAGTTCAAATTAGATCAAAGACTTAATTTAAAAACTGAAATGCTAAAACTGCTAGAGGAAAACATGGAGTATATTCTTCAAGATATTGAGGTAGCCAAAAACTTTCTGATGAGAACCTCAGTAGAACAGGAACTGTACAGCAAACAAAACTATCAGCAGAACAAACAGACCACAGAATGGGATAAAATCTCTAGTGGTTATATTTCCAACAGTTGCCAATATCCAGAATTTGCAAAGAACTACAGAAATTCAATGCCGAGGAAATAAAGCTATTAAGCAACAAATGGGTTAATAAAATGAATGGACAGTTTTCAAAAGAAGAAACCCAAATGGCCAATAACTATCTTAATAAGTGATTGATATCCCTAATCATCAAAGAAATGCAAATTAAAGCTACTTTGAGATATCACCTCACCCCAGTCATGATGGTTATCATAAGGAAATCTGTCAATAAATGTTGTAGAGGGTGTGGGGAAAAGGAACCCTTATTCACTGCTGGTGAGTGTACAAATAAATAGAACCATTATAGAAATCAGTTTGGATGTTTCTTGAAAAATTAAAAATATGAATCTCATGACAACTGTAACTGTTGGTTCTTAGGAATTCAGAGATTCCTGGCAATTTTATGATCAAACATTATATATATATATATATATATATATATATATATATGCTTTATTTATAATAGGAAGGAAATGGAACCAACATAGGTGTCCAGCAATAGATGATCAGATAATGAAAATATGGCATATGTGCAAAATGGAATATTATTCAGCTGTAAAGTGAAATGAAATTATAAAATTTTCACAAAAAATGGCTGAACTTGGAAACTATAATATTAAGCAAGGTAACTCAAACTCAGTAAGAAAAAAATGCATGTTCTCCCTCATATCTGGATCTAGCCTATAATGTACACATGTACATATGCAAACAAGTGTAAGTGTATGTATAGTATAACATTTAGAATGCAGACTAAGATGGAATAGTATTAGGCTATAATATGGGACAGAATGCAAGTGGAAGCACATATAAGTCATGAGAGAGGACATAAAGCTATATTTTTTTCTAGTTTAAGTTTTGACAAAGATTCTTTTTTCTTTCTTGGGTATATAAAATGTATAAAAATATAATAGATAGTGAATGTGTAAAACCTTAAATGAAACTACATTACTTCAGAATGGCCATTCTAACTGTGTAGCAGTTCACTGAGATGCACAGTGTTCAAGAATCAGCAAGTGAAGACAGCCAACTGATTTGGTTATCTGAATGTGTATTTGCAGAGATCTAGAAAAAGCTGGCAATAGTAAGGCCATGTTGTGCGCCTTAAGGAAAGCTACATAGTCATTAAGGTCCCCAAGAATGGCAATAATAATAATAATAATAATAATAATAATAATAATAACAAATCAGCAAGTGTTTATTTGAGTGGCTATCTCAATTGACCGGTGTAGTGTTCTAATTTGTGAGTTCATTACAATAAAGTGACTGTATTTTAAAACAAGAAAACAAAGTTATCTAATACTAACCCTTATCCTTATACACCTAACTTCCCTCCCACCCTTAATCTCATTAAATAAAATCCGAGTATACTTAACATTGTCCTTGTTTCTTTATATTGTAACAGTTCTTGAAGTCAACAGGACCACTGCTATTAATTGGTTAGTATGACAGCTGCATATTTGTTAATATCAAATGGCAGTGTTTGATCTTTTAGCTAATATCCTACTCAGGGAATGACACAGATTTTACACTACACACCCTCAGCTCCTGGAATAAAGACCCTTTTTCTGAACTACAGACTCAACACTACCACATCCTAGTCCCACATGTACATTTCAAATACTCCAATAGAAAGAATATAGCTGATAAAAATAAACCAAAGTAAAACATTAGATGCATAAATCCCAATGTAGTAACATAAACAGGAAAAACCAAGACAACAATAACTCCTCCAAAATTTGCTAGTGCTACAGTAATGACATCTAGCAAGAGTGTATTAAAGCGAATCCAGACAAAGTTTTGAAAAGAATGATTCTAAGTATGTCCAAAGAAATCAAAGATGAAAATAAGCTCCGGGTCGAGAACACAAACAGACACTTGGATGAAATAAGGAAGGCCTTGCAAGATATGATAGAATTCAACAAAGAGAATTACTGAAGAAAAACCAATCTGAAATTTTGGAAATGAAAAACATAATAAGTCAAGTAAAAATATCTTTGGGCCGCCAGAGAGATGGATCAGCTGTTAAAAGCACTGACTGCTCTTGCAGAAGACCCGGGTTCAATTCCCAGCACCCACATGGTGGCTATGAACCGTCCTTAACTCCAGTTCCAGGGGAATCCAACACCCTTTTCTGACCTCCGCAGCATTGCACCACAAGGGTGGACTCACATGCATGCAGGCAATACACTCATACACATATTAATATTGTTAAGGTTCAGATAGCCCTGCCTCCTCACCAACAGGATCCCAAGGACTTCTCATGCTCCTGAGAAAAGGAAACCTAGCTGATAAGCACCTTGGTCTTTGAAGTCAAGAGAAGCAGACTTTTCTCCAATGTTTGGCCAACACAGCAGGCTTCCCCTTTGATCTCCAAAGAGGACATGTTTTAACAGTCCTGCTCTCCCACTCCCCTCCCTCCAACGTAAAAAAAAAAAATACATCTTCCCGCCTTCTGCAGGAAGCAGAAGCCTCCCCTTTAAAAAGACCCAGCTCAAAACCTGGGCAGACATTTTCCCTGCCCGGAAGGAAATCTGCCCCATGTGTTCCTTTTGCTAATAAACCCTATTTTGATGGCATTTTAGCTGTGCCTCGGTGCCTCATCATCCATTCGCTCGTTCTTCGCCAACTTTTTACCTATCATTAATTAATTAATTTAATAAAAATATTTTTTAAAAAAAGCTCTGTGGGAAGTCTCAGCAATAGAATGGATCAAGGAGAGGACAGAATCTCTGAGTTTGAAAACAGCTAAAACAATTAAGCAATTGGAAAGAAAGGAAGGCACCAGTGTGAATTTGAAGATACGAAAAATGCTCTGAAAGATGAAATCTATAAACAATCAGCAATGAAGACTATAATTAAAAAGGTGAAGAAAACAGTTTAATAATAACAACAAAAAATTCCTGAGTTACAAAACGGGACTCTAATCTAGATACAGAGATATTGAGGACACCAAATAGAGTAGACCAGAAAAGAACATCTCCTCTTCATATTCTAATTAAAACACTAAAAAATACATAACTAAGAAATTATATTGAAACCATTGAGAGAAAAACCATGTCATATATAAAGGCAGGCCCATCAGAATAAAACCAAAATTTTTAAACTGCAATTTTAAAGCCAATAAGGGTTTGGAATGATGTATTTCAGTTTCTGAAAGAAAATTGCCAATTCAGACTACTGCCAATTCAGACTATGACCCAACAAGGATATCCATCATAATTGAAGAAAAAATAAAAGCTTTCCACGATAAAAAAAAATAAGCTAAAGAAATTTGTGATCACTAAGACAGATCCACAGAAAACGCCTGAAGGGATCCTTCAGACTGAAGAAAAAAATCCATCCACAAGGCAACAGGGAAGATTAAATCACACTATAATAATAGTTCAGAAAGACAGGAAGAAAGAAAACAAACCCAAATACAACAAAATCAGTAAAATGGCAGACATCAAAATATACCTTTCAATAATACCCCTGAATGGTAATAGTATCAATTCTCCAACTAAGAGGCACAGATTGTAGAGTGGATAAAAAAAAAAATCAGCAACCATCTATTTGCTACCTCTAAGAAACACACCTAAGCACAAAAGACAGACATTATTTTAGGATAAAAGAATGGACAAAAGTTCTTCCAAGCAAATGGACCTAGTAAAGAAGCAGGTGTTACTGTTCTGATATCTGACAAAATTAACTTCAAATATAAACTAGTGAGAAAAGATAAATGGTCACTTCACAATGATTAAGGGAACAATTCATCAAGAGAACATTAAGATTCTGAACATATATACTCCACAATCTCAGGAATCTGCATTTTAAAATTTCAATTATTCTCCTATCCTCAGGCCTCTTGAGCCAAGTTTATCGTGCAGCCCTCTGTGCCTTGACTCCTACAGCCTCATTCACCCTGCCATCTCCCCTGCTGTTCTCTACTCCTAGTTTGGGCCCTGTGCCATTCCTAGTCTTGGGGCCCCAGACACCT